AAAGTGCATGCAAGCAACTTCCAAAAAATTTGTGAGTTGACAGAAACAGCCAGCTGCCTGGACAGTCACCTGAGGTTTCTCCGCAATGCTGGGGCATCATCTTCAGCCTATAGACTTAGCATATCTGACAGACTCATTTGTAAAGTAGGATGTACACAAGGTCAACAGTTCAACCTCACATTGGGTGAGAGCAGTCCATGTACCAGAAACACCTGAATTCCACTAGTGTCATGTCAAGATTCAGGATTTTAAATTCTGGAAATTGTTGATGGTTTTTTAATTCAACTGTCCATTCTTCTTGGCTGTGTATATATGGCTTCATCTCAGCATCCCATTCTTCTCCACATCCCTCTATCAAATGCCAGTCTACTATTGAGAGGCATGAGCTTAGTTACTCTTCAAGAATAACTGTTTCAGCTGCTGTTCCATTGCACATCAGAAGCCATCGGCCCACTGCCTGTTCAGCTGCCTTCGAAGAAAAGGGCACTGTACCTTTTCCGAATTGTGAAGGCCACTTCAGGGATGGTGCCATATTGTCCTGGCCTCAGAAGATGCCTTTTGATAAAGCCATAACCACACTTGTTTTGGCAAGAATCAGTAGTCCTTTGTTTCATGTCCTGTCTGTCCATTTGGTCAGCAGTTGATTCAAGGATACTTTGTTGTCCAGTGGCTAACTTTTGCCACAATGAAAGTTAACTGCATACACAGTTTCTTCAATGCCCATATTTTCTCTGAAGTAGATTGGTACTGCCAGGAGCCGACATGTCTCATAATCATAACAAAAAAGAAAAATTTTCTAAGTTATTAAAACATTTTAAATGCCATATTCTGTAGATCTCTGAAGGGTTTGAAGATGACCTGTCTAAAATATATCTGCTCAATTTTTAAAACATATCTAATATGACTACAAGTTCTATTGTAATGTCTAACTAGTAACTTTCATTTCTTTATATCCTAATAGTTGGTAATAATAACATTCAAGGATCAGAAAGTTGCATTGTTAAATGAACGGTATAAGTACAATTAGAAATATACATATAGCATTTTCTAACAATATCAATTTCAATATATATAATTTGTATACAATATAAAACAATCCAATCCAATGTAAAATATTTAAAACTAGTAATTGTCTTTTTCTTCTTCTTTCTTTCTTTCTCTTTTTTTTTTAAACAAGAACCTTAAATCTAATCTCCTTTTCTTAGCCTTTTTCCTAACCCTTGACAACAACTTGTAACCAACCCCCCTAAACAATGAAAATTATCCCAGACCCAAAAACCATTAAAAAGACCAAAAAAACACCCGCCCCACAACACCTCTTTGCGAATGTGGGCGTCGTATTCTTAAAATTGCTTCCTGCTGGGTATGGGCGAAGGTATCTTTATCCTGAAAGAAAAATTTTAGGTTAATTGTCAAATTCTAGGAAAGGTAACTATGTCCTTCATTATCCAGTCTGTGTATAATGCCAAAGTTCAGGGTTTATCTCAAGTCCTTATTCAAGTAGTCTTTGAGACTGGATCATCTCAAAATTGCTCTGAGCACCTTGTAGTTCAAAGCTGATCTGTAGATGATGTTTGTCAGCTTAATGATGTTATTATTGTCCACATGGAATTGTTGTTGTTGTGGGGCCCCAACTTCTTCCTGGAGACTTAATGTTAGGCCTGGCCGTGATTTCCTGCAGAAAACTGATAAGAGACTCGAACACAAAGACATATATATGCAGCTAATTGAAGCCTTTTTTCTAGAATTAATTAGTACTCTATATGACTCAAATGGCGTCCAACGTGTTGGCAAGAGTTTCCACCTAAAACCTGAGAAAAAAGATTCTAAAACGGAGCTAAAAACAGTTCCTAGTTGTTTCTCTCAAGTTAGTGGCAGCCTGCGTGTTTGAGCTACTATGGCGGGTTCCTGGCATGTGTGCTCGACCTGCAGTATGGCGGGAATGAGGCCTCTGCAAGTGGCACATTAAGCTGTGTGGTGGATTTAGCCTTTGCTAGTACAAAACAAAAAATAAAGGAGGTTTCTGGGCTACACGCTGCTTTGATAGAAGCATAGACCCACTATTTCTAAGAGTTGATGGCTCCCAGAGCTGGCAGAAAATGTACCACTGCCATGTTTTGAAGCTGAAGTGGGCGGAGCCAGCAGCCACAGTGCCAGCGCAGTTTCAGGCTTAGAAGGCTGCAGTTTAAAGCAATAGGCTCAAGCTAATATAAAAAAATAAGCCACGTAAAGATGGCTACCACACAGAGAATCTGGATTATGTTCTCTTTGATATTCGTAACTGAAGAAAAACATTTGATTGTAAAAGCTGTTGAGTTATGCCAATATGTATATTTTAAAGATAACTTGACTTCAAAATTTGGATTTAAGGATATGTTGCTTTGGAAAAGAGTCTCTGCTTTTGTTTCTACAGAAAGCCAGATTCTATGGATTTGTTCCAGATTAAGATACATCAGATTTGACCAACCAAGACCCCCTGAAAGGTCTCCGATGACGCCATGGCCCAGATGATTCAACATCCAGAATGGTTTGAAGGCAACTGGCTCAGATGATACACCCTCATGGACTACTCCATAATCCTAAAATATTCTTTGTGTTCCCATAAGATACAGTGCTCCCCTCCAGCAGGAAGTAGTAAGAGAAGCTATGCCCAAATTCCCAAATATACCAAGCTGACTTTGGAGATGTATAAAGGTTAAAACCTTCCTTTTTAAGAAAAGAAAAGGGGAAGTGCTGTGGGATATTCTGTATGGCAAATGTGTTGCTCTGATTGGTCAATAAATAAAACACTGATTGGCCATTGGCTAGGCAGGAAGAATAGGCGGGACAAGGAGGAGAATAAAGCTGGGAAGTGGAAGGCTGAGGCAGAGAGACACTGCCATCCACCACGATGACAAACAGCATGTGAAGATGCCGGCAAGCCACGAGCCATGTGGCAAGGTATAGATTAATGGAAATGGATTAATTTAAGCTGTAAGAACAGTTAGCAAGAAGCCTGCCACGGCCATACAGTTTGTAACCAATATAAGTCTCTGTGTTTACTTGGTCGGGTCTGAGTGGCTATGGGACTGGCAGGTGAGAGAGATTTGTCCTAACTGTGATCAAACAGGAAAACTCTAGCTACACAAATACATACATCCATATGGATGTATGTATATAAGAATGGGAGACCAAAAGGTTGAATTACTCAATTATATGAGTGCTTAGAAATGTTCATCTATGAAACTTAATATATATCTTGTCCATTAATTTAATGTGTCTTCTTTTTTTCTGCCTTCACTAAATACCTCTCTTCTAAATTTGTGTTGTGGGAAGAGGGCTCTGAATTTGTCTTCTCACATGGATAGTTCTAGTCACCAAGCACATGACAAGACCCATGGTTACATTGTGTTTGAACCCAGATTCTGCATTACCAGTTGTGTGAATGACCTACATTTAAGTAAAGAGGGTGGACAATGTACAAGTAAGAGCAAAGAGAGGTGAGGTGATACAGCCACACTTCAAAACTGTGTAGTACAAAGGCAGTTATACATTTAATGCACAAATGACAGACAAGTAAATATGAAATAGATAAGAAAGATGGGTAATTCCTGGTTGCCTAATACTTTCACTGGAAAACTATTTTTAACTTCTTTTGAATTGCAATATTGCTCCATTTTTGTCATTTCTAGAGAAACATCTTTTGATGAGCTATTTTGCTGGGCACATGTCACTTCTGTGGTAGGAAGTGATTCCCTGAGACATAAAGAAAGATTCTTCCATCTTCCTTATGGACAGGACAATGTTAGAGTCATCTCTTCATATTTGCAGTGTTTGCAGAAGCAGGCGTCCTGTCTGTGTTAGTCGGGTTTCTACTGCTGTGATGAATACCATGACCAGAAACAGCTGCAAAGGAAAGGGTTTAGTTCAGTTTAAAACTCTCAGGTCAAACCCCATCGCAGAGGAAAGTCAGAGCAGGGACTCAAGGCAGGAGCCTGGAGGCAGGAAATAAAGCAGAAGCTTAGAGGAGGGCTCTTTATAAGCTTGCTCTCCACTGGTTTCTCACCTTGAATTCTTATGCACCCCAGGACTTCCTGTCCAGAAGTAGTAGTGGGCTAGACCCTCTTACATCAATCATTAATCAAGAAAATGTCCCACAGACTTACCTACAGGCCATTCCTAAGTAGGCATTTTCTGAGTTCCTTCTTCTTAGATATGTTTGGGTTTATGCCACTTTGACAAAAACCAACCAGTACTCTTTCCAATGAGAGTATGCAAGACGTGATAATGAGTTAGGAGTTGGAAGTAATATTGGCAAAGGGGAGTGTTTTCATGCAGCAGCAGTAGAGAGTTATACATTTGTAACCTGTAAGGACAGATGGTCAAATCTTTAGTTAGCATGCTTTGCAGGGAATAGGAGGACCCTTCTATCATCTGATGGATAGAAGAGCAGAGTTTACCACTAAAATGCCCACCTCTGGTCTTGATGTGCATTAAGGGAAAGAGTGGGCACCTGGTTTGTTTAAGACCATGGAACCCCTGGGAAAATTCAAGTGCCTCACCCTTGGGTGGCTACAGTCCTTCTCTTCTAGGGTCTTCCTTTGGGACCCCAGGGTCTTTTTTACCCAGCAGATTCCAACAGAGACACGTGGATTGTCAGTTACTCACACAGAGTGGAAACTGAGTTTCTCCATAAAGATTTGAGCTCTCTGCATTTGTTAGAGGAGGCAGTAACTTCTTGGTTGGGGATTAACATAAGGAACAGTTACCATGCTGCTCCAGCAGCAGGGCCTGGGTAAGGAGAGTCTCAGCAGTAATAGCAGACAATGAAGTTAGTACCTGTAAGGTACAGTTTGCCTGCAGCCTGGCATTCTAGTCAGATAGATGCATAGACTTTCTAATTATATATCTTAAATTACTAATTCTATATGACCTGTTTGATTCTGACTAGATTTTTTTTGCAACTTTATTTGGATCCTCCAATAAATAAAATTCAATACTACCACGACTTGTCTCCTTGCCTAAAAAGAGACTGGTCCTGCGAACTATGAAGACACGAAAATTCCAAACACATTGTGCATACTGTGAATACTCCCAGTGATCCCATGCACTCTGGTCACTGCACAAGTGCTCTTTTCTGTTGCTGGACCAGAGCTAAGCCCTGGACTGCCAGCCTGGAAGCTGCAGCGCTGAGGGAGGGAGCAAAGCGTTGTGCAGCTGGGGACATTGGAATTGGTGAGAGCTGGCTCTGCAGCAATGGGGTCTGGGCTAGCTCTGAAGGGGGGCGGAGGGGATGGGCTCTCTGGGGCGGGGGGAGGGGGCAACTAGCCCGGCTGCTGTCAATCTGCCAGTCCCCTGAGCCTGATCTGCTTCTTGGCTTCATCCCACCCAGCAGAGCCTCCTCCAGTTGTGGGAGCCACGCACTGAGCAGCGAGACCTGGACCCATCCAGGTAGAACAGCTACCCAGGAACAAGAGTGACAGCTGGGAGGCCGACGGTGACTTGGGAAGCAAGGGATCCAGAGGTGAGCTTGGGGCTTTCAAAGCACAGTGGGGCGGTTGTTGCGCTCAGTGCAGCAGTGTGGCAGGGCGCTTCTTGTGGTTGCAAGCGCATACAGGCAGGGTAGGGACAGCTGTAGAGTGAACAGCGCCTGAGGGCGACGTGCACCCTCAGGGATCTGGCAATGTCCAAATGCTCTCAGTTTAGCAGCGGGAGAGTGTTGGGGAGAGCGGTTAGCAAGAGGCCAGTCCTCCATGCCCCTTCCTCCAAATACGCTCCCCGAGACTGAGACTGAGTCAAGGGGTTGCAGGCTCCTTCCCCACCAGCCCTGCGTGCCGCCCCTGTACAGGTAAAGTTTGTCTCTTTGGGTTCAGTCTGTCCTCTGCTCCAGCAGCACCGCAGGCAGGTACCACCGCTCTTCGCTTTCCTGCTGCAGCCCTCACCATGGAGTCCCCGGTCCAGATCTTCCGTGGGGAGCCAGGCCCCACCTGCGCCCCGAGTGCTTGCCGACTCCCCAACAGCAGCGCTTGGGTCCCTAACTGGGTAGAATCGGAAAGCAACGGCAGTATGAGCTCAGAGGACCAGCAGCTGGAGACAGCACACATCTCCCCGGCCATCCCTGTCATCATCACCGCTGTCTACTCTGTAGTGTTCGTGGTGGGCTTGGTGGGCAATTCGCTGGTCATGTTTGTCATCATTCGGTGAGTGCGGGACAGGGTGTGGTGGTAGCAGGGGTGAAGGGATGACAATGTGTGTGTGTGTGTGTGTGTGTGTGTGTGTGAGAGAGAGAGAGAGAGAGAGAGAGAGAGAGAGAGAGAGAGAGAGAGACAGAGACAGAGACAGAGACAGAGAGAGACAGAGAGAGGTGTGGGGTCTCTTCTGTGTAGGGTTCTGGAGATTCTTCAAGGTGACATCTTAAAAGAATTTCCTGGGACAGTTTTACAGGAATTGTAGGGTTCACGCAGGGCAAATCCGTGGTACCTTTAGGACTTAAAAGCTACCTGCCACAGCAGAGGCTCCAAGTCTCTGCTGAGAGAACACTGTGAAAAAGTGCAGGGTTCTGATCCCAAGGTCATCTCCTGGTAAAGAAAAGAGAACATCTATGTGGCTTTTGCTTGTTTACCTGCTTTGGATTGAAATACTTTACTGCCCTGTGTAAATTTTTCTTTAAATAAACTCCAGGCCTACCAAATGCATTGGAGGTAATTCAGAGTTTTCTGTGATTCACTGGACTGGTGTTGTGGCTTATGAAATGAAAACCAATATGATACTTAGTGAATATCCACTAGCATGATTTTGCAGTGCCCAGAATCAAGCTCAATAAGGCAAGCTCTCGATCCCTGAGCTATTTGTTTAGCCCTTGGTTTTTTGACATAAGGTCTTCTTATGTCGTCCAGGCTGGCCTTGAATTCATTCTGTAGCTCAGGCTGGTCTGGAACTCCCATCTTTCTGCCTCCATCCTCCTAAGTGCTAGGATCATAGCCCTGGGCCATGATGCCCAGTTCACAGAAGTCTCCATTTCCCCCTCACTTTCTCCCTGTATCCTGTATAAACTCTGAGCTCTGGCTGCTTCTTAGATTACTTCCTCCTATTTCCTAAGTGATCCAGTCATATCCTCCATGGCCTCATAGCTCTCTTCTGCCCCTTTGATATATTTTCCTGATTAGTCAAACAAAGAACGAGAACCAGCAGTGCATATGCATGCTGAAAAATTCATACAGGGAATTGGTTTATGCAAGTGGAACACCTGAAATCTTTAATTTAGGAAGCCAGAAGGGGTAGATGCTATGCCTGGGTAGAACTTCTTCCTTGGTGAACCTCAGTTATACCCTCAATGCCTTCTCCTGGTTCAGCCAGTCCACCCTTGTGGTCAGGATTACTTTCCCTATTTAAAATCAACTGAATCTAGAATAATACCTCCTACAAAAAACTTTTGCAGAAACACCCAAACGAATGTTTGAAGACCTGGAAACCATAGTCTGGCTAAGGAGAAACATTAAAATTATCTCCTCACTGCCTCCAAAATGGCTTCATTCTTTCTTGTTTTTCCCATGTGGCTATGATTTTCAGGTATGTGATGATAAACCCAAAAACTCTTTCTCTCTCCTCATTATCCAGTCTTATAAAAAAAAAAAAAAAACTCCACTATCTCTCCTTGTTCTGGATGGCTACCTGATGATCCAACACGAATTTCTGAATTTCTAGGCCTACCTGTATTAGTCTGAGAGGGCTACCATTACAAAGCTCCGTAGACTAGGTGGCTTCAATAACAGAACATTTTATCTGACAGTTTTGAGTACAAAAAGCCCAAGGTTAAAGTGTACCAGGTTAGTTTTCCCTGTAATCGCTCTGTCTTTTTGGCTGTCATCTCCATGTGATCAAATGGCCTTCTTTCTGTATGTGGCTATGTCCTAACCTCTAATAAAGACAGCAGACATAGCAGCTGATGTGTGATCTCACTGGATCTTAATTACTTCTTTGATGGCCAAGTCTCCAGTCACATTCTGAGGTGCCAGTGATTGGGACACCAATATATTAAACTCTGCCTATGACACCATGACCCTAACCCATTCTTTTTCATTCTTCTAGAGCACTTCCTTCCAGCTTCAAGTTCTACAGCAATTGCATTATATTCCATTTAGTCAAAAGTTCACTCCTATGAAGGTACATTTCTTTGTCAATGAATTTTAAGGATAAACAAAGAAAAATTTACAGAAAAACATAAAGTAAAAATGAGAAATTCTTTGGGTCTTAGCGATAGGCTTTGCCTTTCCTTTTCTCATCAGTTTTCAGTAATTTGCAGCCAGGGCTTGGCTCACTCTCAGACCTTCTCTCCAGTAGAAGACATTGGTTCTTTGCAGTTCAGCATCACTGTGTTGAAAGTTCCCCAAGAGAGACATCTTGAAAGAGGTTTAGAGGTAACTATGGAAGGACTACTATGGAAAAGGCTACATTTCCTAAGCTCAAATTCATTGACCTTTCCAAATTTTCTGAGCATGGAGCTTGATAGTCATGAAGAAACCAATTTCCTCACGTATTAATAGGAGAAAAGTTTACTCTTCCTTAAGCCACTAAGCAAAAGTTCCATAGTTCACTCTGCTTATGGCATCTTAAGTTTGGGACAGATAATGGCTTATTCAGGTTACCCTGAGCCAGTCTAGACTGCATGGCCAGACTATGTGGCTGCCTCAGAACTGAGTCAGTGTAGGAAGGAATGTGACGACCCAGTTGGAGAGTCTGCAATAGCATTACTTCAGATCTTTCATCATCCCCTCTGCAGAGTTCCCATAATCCCTGCACTAGATGTCCTTGTCTTCCAAAGTCTCACCTGTATCAGCTTGGCCTCCTTTTACATATCACAAAACCCTGCAGAGGAGCACAAAAAAGACTAGTGTACAGTGTGACCACCTGCACACCATTCACCACTGCTCCATCCTACAACTTTATCCTGGGCTTTGAATGAAGCATTATGCTCTCATTTTTCTGCATCCAATCTTGGAACCAACATTAACATTTCTTTTTACAAAAGAATCAAAAAAGCAACATCAGAAATTAAGAGCCCATCTTTCTTTCTTTAATTATTTTGTACATGTTTGAGAATCTCTTAAAAGAGAGTTAGTTTCATGGCAGCTGCTTGTGTGGATTACTTAAACTTGTTTTCTCCCAGTGGAGTATGTGATCACAATGAAGTATGGAGGCTGCACAGCCATTTCAGGACTAAAACAACCATATGAAGATAAAGAGGTTGTGGATGGGAGGGAGGTAGGAAAGAAACCAGCTGAGCTGGGGGCATAGCCCTGTAATCCCAGCTACTCGGAGGCTGAAGCAGGAGAAATGTGAGCTTAAGGCGTATTTGGACAACTTAGTGAGAACAAAATAAATCTCAAAACAAAAACTAAAAACACAGAGCTGGAGGAAATTCCTCAGTGTTTGAACACTTACTGAGCACACATAGGGCTCCAGCATCATAGAAAAGAAAAACAGAAATGTGCTGTAGAGTTCTTTATGCCTGAACAGACCGCAGACAAAGCCTTCTGAACTGCTCCCATGTTCTCCTGGCTTTACAGTCTTTCCTGATATCTGTCTTGGGGCTAGTTTCAGGAGAACTTGTTTCTTACTGGGAGGGAAGAATTCCTCTCTATTAGCTCTTGTGCTATATCTGAGTGGCAATATCTTGCTGAGAACTATGTGGGTGGCACCTCCTTCACCGTAGCTTGACTTCTGGATGCAGACAGTCGTGGTTGCCCCTGGAGGCTCTCTGCTTCGCTAGAAATCTAAATTTCTGTGACTGTAAGACAGCTGTCATTCTAAGATGGATGGAATTTCGGTGGGACAAGTAATACAGGCTTAGAATTGTATCAAGAGCTTTGAAGTAAACAATTGCTTGTTCCTCACCTTTTCTTTAGAGGTTATGTCCGCTTATGTCTTAGACAAAGAAAACTTGTATAAGAAAAATAGATAGTGGTAGTCTTTGTTTTTAGGACAATCTCACTAAATTCCCCAAGCTCACCTCAAACTCACTATCCTCTTACTTTTGCCTACCAAGTGCTGGGGTTATAGCCCTGTGCTACCACACCTCACAGGAGAATGGATTTTAAGAATGGGGCTAGTGCTGCAAAACACTTATGGGTTATTGTTTTTTCACTTGTTTAACATGTATTATCCCAAATGGCCAATGAGGACAGAATTTTCATGAAAGGTTTAAATCTTTGCTTATGTCAATTCTCAAGATTTCTATAGGATGTCAGAGAAATAATTTTAAATATCTATATGCCTTTTGGTACCCAGATGGCTGTGCTCTGTGGAACATATTGGAATTTTTTCTGAGGGATCATTGCTGTGTGGTAATACCAAGAGGAACAGATGAGCTCTTTCCAGCCACTGACTACTCCAGTGAAATTATTTCTTGGGCATTCCCCGTCCTCCTTGGCCACAGGCCTGCTGGGATAACCTGCCCAGGTGTGACTTGGCTTAGGGTTGGCACTGTACTTGACTACCTGTGTGGTAACAGAGAGGAAGGCCAGCATCTTTTGCCCCTATTATGGTGCTGGCTCTGTGCATGGGAGTGAGCACTGGAGAAAACCTGACTCCAATGTGGAATGAGATTCCACAGAGGGACTTCAGACTGAGGGAAAGCCAAAGACAGCTCAGAGGCAAGGACTACATTTTCTTTTTTTTTTTTTAGAAATGAATAAACTACTGCTTTTTAGTAAATAATCATGATTTCAATATCAAGTAATCCAGAAGGATGTTTAGCAAATTAATTTTATTGAGATGAACTGAGGATATCTGGAGAATTTAATGAAACAAACTCATTATATTTTCAAATCATTCAACTGAGAAGTCAGACCAAGACAATCTTCATTCCTGATTGTTTTATTTTTATTTAATGTCTGAAAAGAGACTTTTCTAAAAGTTCTTTGTAGTTGACTTCACAGAAAAATTTAATGAAAGACACAGATTTCAACATACCCTGCCCCTCACATGCAGTCTTCCCACCATAAGCATCCTGCCGCATGCACGCATGCAGAAGGAGGCAATCGACACACCTGTGCTGACTCAGTATCTTCACACAGACTCCACAGTTCGCACTGGAGTTGCTCCACCCTATCAGGTTTCACCTGACTCCTGAAAATTACTTGTGTTGAAGGTGTGTTTAAAATGTCACTCAAAAGCTCACATGTTGAAGATGTTGCCATCC